CAGAACCTGTCTGATACAGTGAAGCACGTTTTTATGACTTTCAATTTTAAAAAGTAGATCTGTTGTGTTTTTAGGACTAGTCAGGGTAATACTTTGACAAATTCTACCTTGTTACTATATCTTTTCTTTTAATATATTATTTTACAATTAATTCTTGACTTAAATTATTGATTTTTATAATTATTTATGTTAATGTTTTTTTAATATACATTATTTTTAACTTTCTATTTCTCTCATATAATGTTTATATTTATTGATTACGTTATTATACCAGAATGGTTGCATGAGACGACTTTGAAATAAGAATTTGAATGATGAGACAGCTTTTAATTAATAATTTGATGATTGCTTATTTAAGTATTAGTGGTACTATTAATAGTATCTTTTCAACTTATGAGTTATGAACTAATTCATTTTAGTGTGTATCAATGCGTGATTATCTATCCCAACAAGTATCGTTCTTAGGAATTAAATCATTGATGCTTAACCTTTTCCATATTTAAGTTATTATTTACTACTTAAGATTTGATTTTGATCGATTTAACTTGATTTATATTTTTCTAAAATGTGTTATTGTTAGGGGTTTGATCTTTTTAATGAAAATGTAAAAGTTTTTATAAGAAAAGTTTGATCCTAAGGCATCCCTTGCCATGTTACGAGTTTGAACCCTTAGAGGAGCAATTGTTGTGAGAGATAACTACCAAACTTCAATTAATCTTCTACACTTGTCAAATGGTGGAGGAATGCGTTGATTAAGGTGAAAACGCAAAATAATTTAATAATAGAGTTAAAATCTAATTTGATGATTTCTAGTTTTGAAAGATAATTAATATTTGAATTAGGGGTAAAAGATATAATTGCTGTAAAAAAATCCTTATGGATTATCAATCATTTATATCTTATTAATTCTGAAATCTCATTTTTTTTTAGAAAGGAGGTCCTTAGCCCTAGCTAAACAACAACATTACAAGGAAAAGAAACCCTCATGCGATTGTTTAACAAAACTTGGCCATAACCCAATGAAGAAAATTGAACCAAATGCATTCCAATGGGATCATCATGAGGTGGATTGCCAAATAGTCATCCATTCTATTAACTTTCCTTTAACCACGAGTAAGCTTATGTCGGTAAATTTTATGGGTGACAAATAGATGGATTATATGAATCTATATTTGGATCATAATGAATGAAAATTCATTCACCAATCCATGTAAATCTATAAAATGATATTTTAATTTATTCAATTCATCCACATTCAAACTTAATGGATGTATTTTAATTCATCCGTGAATCGATTTTAATAAATTGGATTAATGAATATACAACTCATTTGATTTTTTTCAAATGGAACTAAAGGAACTTTTAACAAATTCATCCTTTTAAAAAAACGTTATTTCGATAAAACATTTTTTAAAATCACTTTTAAAGTTCATTTTAAAAAAAATATTTTTTTTAAGAAACATTTTTTAAAAATGTGATTTTTTGATCTTAAAAAAAAACATTTTTTTGTAAAATGTGACAAACATACACCACTTATCTTAAGGTTTTACGTATAATGTTTTTAACGAATATTTATATATACTATATATTTAAAAACAAACATTAAATATTAATCATATCCACATTTTCTACCATTAATATCATATCATGTGAGCAATTGCAACTAAGAGTATAGGTCAATAAAAAAACTTAATTTAATAAAAAATCAAAGTAAGAATGAGAATCACATACAAGAAAGTAAGAGTTGAGATAATGAAGGAAATTAAGAAGTAAATAATATATGTGAATTTTTATTTTTTGGACGGATTATATATTCATCAAAATGGATATATTCATGGATATTCATTGGATATATATATATCCTAGTAGTCTTGATCATGAACCTCAAATTTATAATCCTAGTCACGAACACAATTATCTCTCCACGAACTTGAACCCTTATGATAATCAAGAGCACCATTGGTGCGACCTGGTTTTCGGTTGGAAACCGACTCTGTGACTTAGCAAGAGATGAACTTGATTTTGATATCTCCAAAAAGATTTGAAGTCACCATTATGTTTTGTTTACGATTAAAACGTAGAAAATTATCTTTGGCCGAACTAGATAATATGGTCTTTTAACCTAAGTTTTGGGCTCAGGAGTCCATTACGGATCAAAGAATATATTAGCACTTCGTCCGTCCATAATAAAACAATATCTTCGCTAACTATATGGACTTTTATACCATTAAAATCTTATCTATTAAAAATTGTTTTACTTTTTTATCTTTGTGTTTGAAAAAAGTTCATCTTGCTCCTACGTATCTCTAAGTACAATAGAAAAATCAAGAGTATGTAGTTTCGGGTCGAAAATAGATTAGTGTTGATTTGTTTGGTAGGCCGATTGGATTTTTATTTTTTGTGAAAAATGATTTAGAATTTATTTTTGTTTATCTACTTTAAGAGATTGTAGCAGTATTACTCGTGTTCGCACTACAACTCCTCTTAAAGAAATAGAATTTATAAGTTACCTACTTGACCACTTTAAGCGATTGAGGCAACAACAATCATGTATGCACCACAACTCGGCTTAACGCAATATATTTTATTTGATTAATCGCTTATCCCTTTTAAATCATGGAAAAATCACTAGTGTGTGCCATAACTTGACTTAAAGAGATATGCTTGTTTTTTTAAATATCATTTACCCACTTTAAGCGAATGAGGTAGCAACTGTAACACCCTAAATTTTAAAGTCATTAAATTATAGTATCAGTCCTAGGAGTCTCGCTTGAGTGAGAGAATCGTCGCCTGGGCGAGAGAGGCTCACCTGGGAGGGTGAAATCCTGGGCTATACTGAAGGATTCTCGCTTGAGCGAGAATTACCTTGCTTGAGCGAGAGTGGTCTCGCCTGAGCGAGAGTTGTCTCGCCTGGGCGAGAAAAGTGGCATTCAGGACCTGTCGAGGCTGTAAGATCCTCGCTTGAGTGAAAGGATTCTCGCTTGAGTGAGAGCTTCCTCGCCTGAGCGATAAATCTCTCGCTTGAGCAAAAACGTCAGATCTGAAATTTTAAAAAGGCGGGATTTCCTCGCTTGAGCGAGAATGGCCTCGCTTGAGTGAGAACCCGACGAGTTCACTTTAAAATAGAAACCTCAAACACATTTTAGGGTTAGAACTTTGAAGAGAAGAAAGAGAAGAGAGCTTTTTAAGAGCAAAGAGTCTTAGGAATCATTTTAGAGCTTGAGAAGAGGTAAACCTCTTGTTTCTAACTCTTCTTCTTCCTTTCTAACTTGTTTTGGGTGTATGGATCTCTTCTGAAAAAATATGAGAACCTTGGAAACTCTTACGTTTGAGTTGTGGTTCGTTTTATTTAGTTTCTCTCTTGTAAACTCTTGGTTTAGAGTTAATATTCAAAGAATGGAAAGGATTTGTGGGTTGATCCATGAAAACCCCAAAACCCCAAAAGGAAAATGTGGTCATAAGAGGAAATGTGTTAAATGATATGTGATGAAGAATATGTTGTGTGTGGTTTGTTTATAATAATGATGTGATATGAGTTGTTAATTTGTTACATGAGATGAATGTTTATTGTGATAAACATATATGAGTATGTTTGTAACAATGATTGTGTGATAAGTGTTTAATGGCAACAAATGGACGAGATTATGTGATATGAGAATGATTGTGTTATGAGTATGTGTTATAATGTTGAATACAAGGTGAATATGTATGTCTTGAACAGTTGGAAATTCCTAATGAAGTAATTTTGGAAACGTTGAACATGTATGAAACTCCTGTATGTTTGACGATGGAATATGAGTCGTTTATGTATTATTTTGAATAAATGACTGACATTGTTGTTATTGGTGGGAATGAGGAAAGATCCTAAGGTTGGAGGAGATCGTGGAGGAAACTGGTAAAGTTACTCAAAAACCGACACCCAACACTCACCGAGGTAAGAATAAGTCTTTATTTGTGCATTTGAAATGAAAAATGTGTGTATTTTTTGGTTATGCAATGATTGAGTTATGAATCACGTATTTAGTATAAACATATATGAGTGTGTTTATACTAATGTAGGCGTAGAAATCTATTGAAAGAAAACTAGAAGAGAGAAATCTATTGAAAATGAATAATTTCTCTCATTAATATGAACCACATAGTTTCTCATCATATTGAATGAATGCAAAAATTAGGGGAATATCCCATTATATACAACAATTATACTAAAACAAAAAAATAGATATTGTTAGCCACATAATTGATTGACTATGTTAATAATCAATTATCGCACACAAAACTCATCTTATATAACTAAGGCAACTAACCAATTAATTAATTAACTATTCTATTAATCGATTAATGAATACAATAATAGAACTAAACAATAATCAGATAATTGATTAACTACAATGTTAATCGATTATATAGTACATAATCATATCTATTTTAACATTCCCGCAAGTTGAAATGTATCACGGATTCCAAGCTTGAAATGATTGTGTTGAACATGATATACTTTAATACCTCCTCTTGTTAGTGAATGAAACTTTATCTCTCAGTCTTAAAATCTGAATGTGAAGCAATTTCATCCAACGCTTAACCATCTTTTTGACAGAAGCAAACCAACCATAGTGGATGAAAGAGAAAAAAGAAATGGATATTTATCTTGGAGGAGGGATCCACTTACTCCAAGAGTAAATGAAAAATGACTTACTTCACATCTTAACCATCCAATCTTGGAAATTTCAATGGTTTATGTAAGGACTCAATTTCTACATTTGAAATTTTTTCTCCTATTTCAACCCTTTATACTTGAACTTCTAGTTACATCATGCATACATTTCTTTTAACCTCTTAAATCACCCATTGCTTTAATTATCTCATAACTTTAAATCATACTAAATCAGTTTCATACCATGTTACCCTTAACTCCAGAAAAACATAATTCATATTAATATTTCCCCGTAACTACCACATACAACTAGCTATGGGTTTTCCAAATACTCATAGCTACACATATCCAGTGTTACAATACTCATAATTACAATTATCTAAAAATGGCATTTAGTCAGTCATGATACAAAGTACAAAAGAAATAAATCCGGATTTAAAAGCTCATAAGACTCCAAATCAAGCAGCTTCAATTCATCCGTCTACCTACAATGAGATTATCATAAAAAGACACAAAACACAAGGGAGTAAGTCATTAGTTCAATAATAACCGCATATGAAAATCCACATTTTAAATATACATAAGCATTGAAATGAAACACATTTCTTAAGTACATGAATATAAATATTCGTATCTCTTTTCTTTTATTTTTATTTAATTCATATTCACCATATAGTATATATCTCATAATATATATTCTATAGCATGCATATTCATTCATTCCAATGCACTTTTATTTCATCAATTACACTTAGCATCAAATTTACTCTTGACCACATTCGGCCCGTTTACACCTCAAAGATAATCCACTACCACTTCAGGTAGGTCCACAACACAGGATAATCCACTACCGCTTCAGGTAGGTCCACAACACAAAGATAATCCACTACCTCTTCGGGTAGGTCCACATTATAAATATAATCCACTACCACTCCGGGTAGGTACACGACACACGATAATCCACTACCACTTCGGATAGGTCCACGACACACGATAATCCACTACCACTTCGGGTAGATCCACGACACACAATAATCCACTACCACTTCGGGTAAGTTCACGACACACGATAATCCACTACCACTTCGGGTAGGTCCACGACACACGATAATCCACTACCACTTCGGATAGGTCCACCACACACGATAATCCACTATCACTTCGGGTAGGTCCACACCATAAAGGTGGTCCGCATTACAATTCTCACTAACATAATGATTCGTACACATACCATGTTGTGAGTACCCAATTTTGTCCGGCCCAAAAATACATTCCAAAAAAAAAACTAATAATAAATAGTAAGGAAAATTGCAAGTTGTAATGTCAGAAAACAATGTTTTAAATATACAGTATTTTGTGAGGATTCTAACCACAATTTGATTATAACTTTTGCCATATGCTAAATTTAGGATATCAATATATGATGTAATGTTTTACAATAAAAGACAACGGGCAACTATAATTGTTCAGGTTATTAGCCACGTGTTAAATTAAGTCACTAATTTAGTATTCAAAATTGAACCACAATAATTGAAACCAATGCATTACAAATCAACGCAATAATAAAGCTAATCAATTCAAATCAATTCATTAATTCACATAAAACACATATGCATCTTTTGGCTTAGAACAAGACCAGATTCAATCACTAAAAGAAAGCAAGAAAAAAACTAATCTCCCCCCTTAACTCAGCTAAACACTGTAATGGGAAGACTCCCCTCATTTTGGTGCACATGTATCATCACATATGTCATCTATTTTCACCTAAATAGAAATGGCATTAAACCCCTAAAAAGGAAAGAAAATCAGGTTAGCAGCAAATAATAAAGGGCCACCAATCAACATAACTCCAAGAAATATGGCACTAAGGAAACGCATATTAAGATCACAAAGATACCAACACAATTAGGCAGCATTAATAAGCAACATTAAGATAATAATCAACATTAATAGGTAATAATTAGCATACCATAAAGGGACAAGCTCAATAAGGCAATTAGAGTATAAAAATAGAAATGAAATCATGGCATAAAGAGGCATTAAATTGGGGATGGGCAATTAAAAAATTACCAATGTGGAGAGGATTCCAAGCAGTATAAATAGAGTTAGAAACCAGAATAAAAAAGACAAGAAGAAAGCTAATTCAAAGATCAGTGACATATTGGAAACACTTTAGCATATTAGAGAACACCGAACACAAAGCAGCCAACCAGAAGAGATAACAAGGGTATATCTCACATCTGTTCATGTCTCATATTCCCTTCAAGACTAACAATATCCTCGCAAAACCTTTTTCTTTTCTTCTTCTTCATTAACACATCACACAAAAATCCCCTATTCCCTTCAAGATTCATAGCGTTCTAGCATAAACTTTTTCCCATCAACACCCGCCACACAAAACAAAGTGAAGTAGACTGGGATATTAATAACCAGGAGGACTAAGGAATGAGATTGGCAGGGGACCAGCGAAAGGACAAGGTAACGATAAAGAATCACATAATTCCCATCAGGTAACAACACCCTTCTTTACCTAGATACCAATTTTTTTGTCCTAAATGATCATATTATGCATCCCGTTTAAAAGCTTTATGGTAGTACATGTGTATAATCGTTTAAAAGGAAAAGATGCATCATTACAACCCTAAAACATTTTTAATTACCGTTGGGATGAAAGAGTAAAGAGGAAGAAGGATGGAGTATGAAAAGGAATTGGGAATTTCCCTTCTCTGTTGCAAACGTGAATGAATAGGAGTAACTTTAGTTACCTTTCAAAATAAGTTCACCTTTTAGTTTTTATCGTAATACCCTTTTATTTCTATTGCTTTATTTAATAACATTTCTTTCTTTTAATAATTTGTTCACTGCCAATCTATGTATTATTCCTTTTTATCCCAAATCTCACGTGTGGTTTAGTTTGTGGTGAAAAAATCAATTAATTTATATACCCTACACTCCCTAGTTATAAAAATAGTTAAGTGCCTTCACTTAAGTTACATCAATATGTCCTTTTGCTAGTAAAATAAATATGATTTAATTTAAATGCTCACTATATTTCAATTATTTTAACAACAACCAAAAAAAACATAAAGATAATTGTGTTTAAAGATACCTGAGCTACACTTCACTTTCTTAAGTTTAAAGATAATTGTTACACTATTTACTTATTAAATCTAAAATCTTTTTTTATAAGAAATGAAAAGGTAAATTAACATTCTTTTTAATAAATTTAAATATATTTTAAACATAAAGATGATGAATATCTTAACTAATCTTAAAAAATGAGATGCGGTATCGGACACACAGGCTGTAATTCACTCATTTGAATATAAAATAAGTTAAGATTAAACATCACATTTTCTAAACAATAATAAAATTAACCTAACCAACAAACCTTTTTCTACCTAAAGAACTACGTAGTCTTGTTTCCCTATCTTTATAGGGATACGTAGGAGCAAGATTGCATCTTGTCAGACATAACAAAAAATAAAAAATATTTCTTTATAATAAAATATTTTAACAAGTTCTTTTGGCATAAATAAAAAGTCTATGTAATTAATAAGGGTACCATTTAAATGGGCGGATAGGGTGTTAATACATTCCCTAGACCGTAACCGACTCCCAAACTCAGATATCAAAATCCAAAGCCCCAACATAATTGGGCTAACAAATTTTTCTACATTTTTTACCATAAAATGTAGTGGCGACTCTAACAAAGTCGTGCGGCCGAAAATCGGGGCGCGACACATGTTCACATCATCTCATAAATAATGGAGACACTTATCCTTACCTTGGTGAATGTTGGGTTTGGTTCTTGGTGGCTTTGCAAGTTCCACCGACACCGCCTCCAACCTTAGGATCTTTCCTCATTCCCATCACATAACAATAATGTTAGTCATTTATTCAAAATAACACATAAACAATTCATATTTCATCTTTAACCATACAAGAGATTCATACATTTTCAATGTTTCCAAAACCACCTTCATTAAGAGTTTCCAAACATCTAAAAATTACATATTCATCTCATATTCAACATTAGAACTTATACTCATCTTCTACATCTAACATTTCACCAATTTTTCCCTTTACTCATATTCTCATTTTGGGGGTTTTGGGGTTTTCATGAATCGACCCACAAACTTTTTCCATTCTTAAAATATCAACTCTAAACCAAGAGTTTACAAGAGAAAAACAACATAAAACGAACCATAATTCTAAAGGATGAGTTTCCATGGTTTCTCACATTTTGAGGAGATCCCATACACCCAAAACGAGTTTTGAAAGGGAGAAGGAGAGTTAGAATCAAGAGATTTACCTCTTTTCAAGCTTCTAGATTAGCCTCAAGGCTCATTGCTCTTGAAAATGCTCTCTTCTCTCACATCTCTTCAAGTTCTAACCCTAAAATGTGTTTAGGGTTCCTTATTTAATGTAACAACGTCGGATTCTCGCTCAAGCGAGAAAATCCTGCCCATTTAAAAAACTCATATCTCACCCTCTCGCTCAAGCGAGAATCTTACAGCTTCTACAGCCTATAGTGCCACTTCTCGCCCAGGCGAGACAACTCTCGCTCAAGCGAGGCAATTCTCGCTCAGGCGAGAATCCTTCAGTATAGCCCATGATTTCACTCACCCAGGTGGGCCACTCTCTCCCAGTTGACACCTTTCTCGCTCAAGCGAGACTTCCAGGACTGATACTATAATTTAATACCCTTAAATTCAGGGTGTCACAGTTTAGATGTACTTACCAATTCAAACCATTGGATTTCTCAAGAATGAATGATAATGATGTGGAGTAGGTTTTTTCCACTTAATCTTGAAGTAAGTGGATCCCTCCCCTTTATCTTGATCCTAATATGTTGCTTCAATGACGAAAAATTACACACTATAATAATGTATAAAGCTTGCATGTTATTAGAGTAGTCCTTATGTTCACCATTTTTGTATTCTATCCTTTATGTTTAGCTCCTATAATATATATATATATATATATATATATATATATATATATATATATATATATTTTGTGTGTATGTATGTGTGGATCTGTTAACCTTTCACAACTAACATTTCATAATATTCAAGAATATTCATTTTCTTATTTTCTCTTCTCATCTCTTTATTGATTCTCTTTTTTCTCTCTCTAAAGCTTTGATTAAGATTTTCTAACATGGTATCACAAGCTTCTCATTCATGATTCCTCGTTCTTTGCATGTGATTGTGATTCATCAATGTTTCTCATTGATGATTGTCATTGTTGTTTCGTGTGATCTTTGTCGTTGTTGCGGTTTGTTCTTTGTGTTTCTTTGTCGGTGATTTCTTCCGGTTTTCACTCTTGCTTTTGTGGAAGCTGCAAGGTTGTACTCTTCTTCGCATATCTAGTTGTTCATATTGCCTAAGGCTTTTTAATCATGGCAGGAACACAATTGTTTTGTTGATTTGGTGATGTGCGCATTAGAATCGTTGATTCACGATTGATTTTTTGTGATTCGTGGAAGCTACCTAGGTCTTCAATTTTTTTCTTGATTCAATTTTGTTACGCTACCTAGGGTTTCGTTTTTTGTTGTTGTGTTGCTTTTTACTGTTGATTCAGTTCTAAATTTGAAGATGCATAGTTGATTCACTGTTGTTGCATTGACTAGGGTTTCTATTTTGTTGTTTCATTGATGATTGTTGTTGGTTTAGTTATGAATTTCAAGTCTGAATTTCATGGAGGATTATACATCTATGTCGTCACCTCATCCGTCGCAGGTTATTCCCCCGTCGACGATTTCTTTTACTCAGGTAATCTCGACAAAGCTGTGTGAGAAGAATTATTTTCTATGGAAGTAAGAAGTTGAAGCGGTTATTGCCTCTCATCATCTTGAACGGTTTGTGGTTAATCCACAAGTGCCTCTACGACTTTTATCTGAGGAAGATCGTGATGTTGGGAATATGAATCATGCTTTTCTTCAGTGGGAAAAACAAGACCAACATCTTGTGTCATGGTTGTTGCAATCATTATAGAAGATTGTGCAATCCCGAGTTTTAGTTCTTCGTCATGCATGGCAAATTTGGGATGAAATTCACACATTTTTTGACTTGTTGATTCGTGCTAGGAGTCAATTGTTACTTTCGGAACTTCGTACTTTGAAGAAAGGCACTCAATCTGTTCCTGAGTTTGTTCCTCACATCGCTTGTTCACTCACTAGTTACCATTGGTGATGTTATTTCTGGAACATAACAAGTTCGGTTTGTGTTGGAGGGACTTCCTTCTGAATATGAGTCCTTTGTTACTTCGATAAATAACATAACATAATCATGCTCATTTTTTCAGCTTGAATCCTTGCTCATGGGCTCATGAAACTTATTTAGAGCAGATTCATCTTTCGGTTAATGAAACATTTTCTGAGAATGTGGCTCATTCATCTGTTAAGACTCGCCCATCGGCTTATTCATGTGTCCCACAAACAACTTATGATGTTCCTGGTTAATCCTTGCATCATTCTCGAGTTCCACAAGGAGTTCATTTGGGTGTTGATGTATATGGACTCCCCGATTCGTCCTCTCAGTTTCATCATACGTTTGAGAGAGGTAGAGGTCATAGTTTTGGGAGAGGAAGGGGGAGATTTCGTTTTGGTAGAGGCAGAGGTGGTGGAAGGTGTCAATTATGTCACAAACTTGGACATAAGTTTTTACAATATTGGTAGAGGTTTGATCTAATCTTGGGAACACAACAACAGGTTGTGTCGGCTCAGCATACTTCAGCCCCCTCCTATGTGGGTCTGCATCCTTCTCAGCATTCATATCATTTTGTTCCTCGTTAGTATAGATTTACTCAACCTTATGCCTTGCATCTTCCTGGTTATCCTCAGGCTTCGATCTATACTTGTGCAATAATCTACACCTAAGCTACAATCTATACATTGAATTTCCTAAACTACTCTTTAAAACTCAGTACATAATTTGACCAATCTTCCCTAAGTTGGGTGATTTGGTCATCTGTGTATAACTCTGCATCAAACTGGACTGAAGCTGGTTACTACTGAATGATATCTTTCATGAATTACAACATATAATAGCTGCAATCTTTCTTGTTGGTTTGGCAAGGGGTCTACAATTAATATCAAATAAACATATAAGTATATGTACTTGAAAAATGAATATTACACATTTAATTGTTTGAGGTATGTGTCACAATACCTTTATATGAGTCATTTGATATTGTATGATATAGATTTAGAATGAACATGAGCTCTATAAATTTGCACCCCCCTAAATAACATAAATATACTTTATTACTAAACAGAAAGCGAAAGTGTACTAAAAATTAGAAATTAAAGTTTAAATGAGTAGTCCACTTTACCTAGTGAATATTTCCTTCATGGTTGGGTACTTGCTCGGACCGCCGTATTTCAATGAATCAAAATTGTATATTTGTTCTTCAATCCGATTAATGACAA